TATTTTTGTAGGCTATCCCACTAATCAGAGAGGTTACAAATGCTTTGATCCAGTTTTGAAAAGGATGTTTGTGTCTATGGATGTCACATTCTTTGAAGGAACCTCGTACTACAACTCCCATCTTCAGGGGGAGAGCAACACTAGTAAAGATGGCTTTTTAGATGGTTCTGATTTAATGTTTGAATTTGTCCATAATGATGTTCCTCACAACTGGTCACCGAAAGAAAGTGAGGCAAAAAATACAAAATTAGTGGAAACAAATGAATTAAATATTGAAAATGTTGAGTCTACCAATGAACAACCTTTGGTGATGCCATTTCAAAATGAAAAAGCTGAAACAGTAGAGATACGTGCGAAACAGTATAAAGGCTTTGTTTATTCAAGGGAATATCTAGCACAGAAAAGGAGAGGCACTATTCCGCAGCATCAACAAGAATCTGATCAGAGGTTGGATCATGAAATTCATGATAATTCTCCAAAAATTCCTAAAAACATTCCTCTAGGTAATTCTGATTCTTCTAGTTAGCTTGATCTTCCCATTGCTCTTAGGAAAGGTGTTAGGTCTTGTACAAAACATCTTTTGTCAAATTTTGTATCTTACAAAAATATTTCACCTTCATATTGTAACTTTATTTCACAAGTGTCTAGTGTATCCATCCTAACAGTATCCAGGAGGTTCTAAATGTTCTTGAGTGGAAAGAAGTTGTTTTTGAGGAGATGAGAGCTTTGGAAAAGAATGCTACTTGGGAGAAAGTGGATCTGYCGGATGGAAAGACAGTTGTTGGTTGTAAATGGGTGTTTACTCTGAAGTACAACTCAGATGGATCCTTGGAAAGATACAAGGCTCGCCTAGTAGCTAAAGGCTTTACTCGGACATATGGAGTGGACTACTTTGAGACTTTTTCTCCAATGGCGAAGCTACAGTTCGAGTACTCTTATCTGTTGTAGCTAATCTTGACTGGCCACTGAATCAGCTGGATGTGAAGAATGCCTTTTTGAATGGAGACTTGGAAGAAGAAGTATATATGGAGSCTCCACCTGGTTTCACTGAGAAGTTTGGAACTAAGGTATGCAAGCTAAAAAAGTCTCTATATGGACTTAAACAGTCTCCCAGAGCCTG